CCCTTCAGGCCCACATCTCCCCTGCCCTTTACTTATACGTGGACTGCCGGAAGGACTGCATCAGGTTCATCAGCCAACGCTCTTTGCAGCACTTTCGCCCCCACATCTCCCATGCCCGTTGCTGATCCAAAATCAACACCTGGTGCTCATGGGCTCTTCGACCCAAGTCCGAGGCCCTGAACCTGCCAGTTCAAATGGAGCCCAGGCACTACGAAGGAAGTCTTGAGCAGCTTTTTGTCTTTAAACTCGTTGCTCAAAAAGGTGATGGCCTGACCATGCGGGACTTAAGATGCGTGACGCGCGGGTTTCCATGTATCTCCAATATGTCTTTTGTGTATTGAAGACATTTGGTATTCATGACCTCGAACTACTCATTTCTTTTCATTCTACTGGTGGGTTGCCCAGACTTTCACATCTGAGCACAATCAAGCGATAACATGTTCTTGATCCTAGCACATGTGAAGCCGCCTGACCCGAAGGGTCGATGATCAGTGGATACCTCAGAAAGCGCCGCATGATGATGGCATTCTCGTAGCAGAGGTCATCATCTGGGAGTGCCTTGCATTGCTTCAGGGCTTCAGGACTTCAGGACTTGGGCTTCATTGGCCAGGCTCGCCCAAACCAACCCTTTTCTAGGTCTTGGTTTTCAATGGGCGGGCTGCCGAGCTGAGCGAGAGAGCTTATCTCGGGGTCATGAGGCCATGGGCCATGACCACACAAGCACTGGTTTTATGCTGCTATATGACAACCTAAACCATCTATCTTACGACCAGGTCTGGACTGGACATACATGGAGAGTTATGCCCAGGATTGTTGTCTGGAGAATTAAATATTCCAGGGGGCATGAGGGGCAATCGAGATGACGGGTTAAGGCCTCAGGAATCACCAATTGTTGTCGTCGCCAGCCCTCGCCTCCCACTATCACAGCGAGAGGCTCAGACGTTATCGTCGTTGTCGTCGCCAGCCCTAGCCTCCCACTATCACAGCGGGAGACTCAGGCTTCGTCGTCTTTGGTGCCGAAACTGCTTCCCACGATCACAGCGAGAGGCTGCTCAGCGCAGGGAGATAAATGCTGTCGGCCTAGCCTATTTCTCACCTTTCCACCGGAGCCAACATACACGAAACAAAATCCTCCAAGCAGCCACGAGGGACCCCCCAAAAAACAATAACAACATAGACTTCATGTTGCCGCATCCAAAACCCCCTATTCTTCTATTAGTGTAGACCTGGACCAAAGCAGAAAGCTAGAATAAAGGCCAAAGTTACGTTCTGCTTCCACTGCAGGCGCTCGGAAGGCTTTGACAGGTACTCCTCAGGTTTACGCAAGCGCTCAATGAAGAAGTACTCCAAGACTGACAAGATCTTTCTAAAAGAGCCTCCGTGTACCCACGGAAGCACAGATGGCTGATTTGTTGTGAAGGCCTTCCATCAGAACTGAATGTAGAAACCTGACTACCTCAAAGAGGGGACTCTTTAAACTTTGGCATAATTGATACAATATGGGGATGGTAAGGGATGCACGTTTCATCCTTCAACTACTAGGCTCATCACAGGGAAAGTCGCAAGCCCAATTCCTGAAATCTCGATCATTTCAACTGCAAGCAAGCATCAATGATGGAGATGTCCTCCTTCTGCCTAGGCCACTCTTGGGATATCCAACTACATGTGCTTGTCTCTTCGCGGTTTTGGGCTATACATGCAACAAGGTAAAGGGTATTCAACAATTATCCAGCTGCTTGATTTCAGCTTCGTCCAGCTTCTCACGCCAGAGCTGGATGACGCGCTGGCGCATAAAGAGATCAAAGAAGCCGATGTAGGTGCAGAAGGCACCGCAGATCAACACATCCCCAATCCTAAGCGATTCAACTTGTAAGAAGTGAACGGCGGCAGCACAGCAGCAGCAGCAGCAGCAGCAGCAGTGGCTTGCTGGCATGTCTCATGCTTGCCGTCTGCTCCTGGAATCCTTTTGAGGAGCCCTGCCATCTCACTTTCTCCGAAGACAAGTCGGACAGCAGCTGCGTCGACCTCGAGCAGTTCTTCTGCACCTGGGTGCTTTCGGTTTGGACATTTGGGGTTGGAGGATGCTGGCTAAGGGGAACTTATCGATTTTGGAAGCTCATACTGCATCCGTGCCCTGAGAGTCCCGTTGTTTTCTTGAGAGGGGCGCTGTGTGAGACATGGCCAGCTCTCCCACGCACACAGTCTTCAATGAGAGCTGGCATTGTCTCAAATTGCCGGGTCTGCGCTGACACTCCTTCACCGAAGAATGGACCCCAATTTGGATAGAATTATCTTTTAATCTCTACCTGCCCAATTTGAAACTCTCCGAACACCACCAACCCAAGGCCTCAGTCCTTCCTCGCTGATCCCAAGGCCCTCTTCGCTCTACGCCTTCGTTCTGACAAGCAACTTGCTGCATCTGGTGCTTGATCTGTTCCACGGACGTGATCAACTGAGCATACCTTTCAGTGCTGCCGCTTTTTCGGGTTCCAGGGTTTTAGGCTTTAGGTTCAGGGTTGCGGCTACTTATGATCTTCACATATCAGCTTCATTGGGATGCTGCTTGGAAAGTCAATATAAGGAAGCACCAGGGGGCATACCGTAATTGCCAGCAAAAGCAGTGGAGAGGGGAAATGCAATCAAGGTGCTGCTCCTTGTACTGCTGGATCTTCTTCTCCATCTCTGCAACTTCCTTCTCGCAGGCCTGTAACTCCACTTTGTTCTTGTCAGCTTGCTGTTGCATTTGCTGCAGCTCGTTCCTGCGGGACAGAGGCTTCGCTGGAACTTAATAGGAAAAGGGAGATCCAGTTCTTGGATTGCGTTGTGGGCATCAACGTCCCTCCACAAATCCCAACACACGAAACCAGCCCAACCCCAAACCCTCTAATTCGCCAAAAACTTGAGACCACCCAGACCTCATGGGCTCCATCATGTTCAGGAGGTCGGCAAACCTATGCACTCAAAAAATCCAGGGACGAAAAGCTTCAGGTCTAGCATTTTGTAAGTTGGCAGAGCTTCATGCTGTTCTGCTAGACAAGGAACTGCAGCTGGCTCTCCACCCACTGGGCCACAGGACCCGCACAGCGAGAGGCTTGCTTTATTCGCGACACATCCCATGCCTCGCTGTGCAACCCGCTTTGACAGCGATTCTAACGCAAAAGTGATGTTGCAATCAGCCAAGGCGAGCATGTAAGTGCGCGAGAAAGCAGAATGATAAAACCGTAGTGGGGGTAAGTAAGACAGGAGGGTGCAAACAATGATAGTCGCCGGGGACTGCTCCAGATTGCAGCCCAGCGCCTTGTTTTGGATGTACTTCTTCTTCAGAGTCTCCCTCGTAGCATCCTCTCGCTGCTCGGCATTTCTGGGGATTGGAGCAAAGCCACCCAAATGGGACCATCCGCACTGCCAGAAGTGAGGGGTCCACAAAAATCAGGAGAAAAAAGAGCCTGACCTGAAGGACTTTCTCTTGCCTCAACAAAAGCCTAATGCCAGGCATCATTCTTCTTATCATCACCATGATTCCAAGCAGATCAACAGCCCCGTCACGTCCTTGAGCTGCTCTGCATCCTTGGATCAGTCACCCGATTCTCGCAAGCATGCAGTGTTCTTTGCTTCTTCTGCTGTCCCAGGACCCTCAGATTTCCTGACAGGCGTGATTGCTATTTGCATCCAATCCCTGTCCTATTTCTTAAGATGCATGTACCCATTCACATAACTGGAACTTTGACTATTGAGAACTGTGCTCTGCTGACATGTGTGCGGGCAAGCATCATACTCCAAGATGCTGGGAATGAAGTTTGCATCTCGCATGACCTGGCTGTGTCAAAATCCAAAACCTCCTGTACAAACAGAATACTCCATCTGCTCGAATCTGCCCCATAAGCCCCGAGAGACAGAAGATGATAAGTCATAATCAATCATAGAACATTTCTTGAGCTTGAGATATCCCTACACTGGAAGCCCCACCTTGCGCACCGCTTCCCAGTTGATGGTAGCTGCCGGAATTTCCGGCCTTACCATGAGGATGACAGCCTCCATCGCCATCTTCACATGTTCGGGCGGCTTGTTCATGGATCGTAGCCTCAGGCGTCAGCTCATGAGGCGTAGTCAAAATCTGGAAGTTGATCCTACGTAAGATCCCTCTTAAACCACCTTCTGTAATCATAGTACCCCCATTCCGAAACACCCCAACCTAAGTCCTAAGTCCTAAGTCTTGAGGCTCCTCACCCCGAAGCTCTGGGGCCGATACTCATCTAAAGCCTGCTTGTTCACGGCTCCAACGGCACTTTTTGCAGCTTCCAAGGCTGGTTCCACCTCAGGGAGCTGAGGGCGTAGGGGCTTCAGGGACCTTTGTAAGGCTTCAGCCCCAAAGAGGTTTTAGCATCTGGGGTTTCATCAGAGGGGATAGCAGGAGTTCCTCCGTGGTAAGCCCCCGAAGACCCGGTGACCTCCTCGATCTTCTTCTGGATCTCGCCTCCAGGAAGGTAGGGGGTCATGTCACTCAGAGGGTGGGAAGACCAGTGAAATAACACTAAAGGTACGGAAAAACATGGGTAATTGCCCAAGCAACAATGACACCTGCCTAAAATCCCGGACCACCATCCTGCGGGGCACCGACAGCCCGTACACCCCAACTGCCAACCCCAGAGCAGCAAAAGCCTGAACACCTCACCGGATAAAAGCTCCAGGAACAAAAAATCCGAAGTTCTTGGACCCCCAAAAAAATGGGCAGTCTTCGATTCGCCTCGGCGCTCGTCGATGACCTTGGATTGCTCTGCCAGGTCCACTTGGAGCTTCTGACTCGCTTGCTTTCGCTCCTCCACCAGCTGTTGGGTGCAGTTGAGGGCTTATGGGCTTGGAGCTTTGGGCCTAGGCTTCGAGGTATTCTCGGCGTCGGCTTTCTGATAAGGTTTGGACATTCATGGGCCAGCTTATCCCAGGATTCTGTCCGGATAAATTCCTGGTAGCATGAGGGGCAATCGAGAATATCATCAAAGGGGTGAGGGCCTCAGGAGTCACCAATTTCTGTCGTCGCCAGCCCTTGCCACTATCACATCGGGAAGCTCAGATTTTGTCGCCTTTGTCATCCGCAGCCCTCGCCTCCCACTATCACAGCGGGAGACTCAGACTTTGTCGTCTTTATCGTCGAGACTGCCTCCCCACCATCACAGTGAAAGGCTGCTCAGTGCAGCGAAATAAATCCTGTCGGCCAACCCCCAAACTGATCATCTACTGACATAATGTTTCTGCTCTTCAGCGTTCCACCAGAGCCAACAACATACACAAAAGACAATCTGCAAACACAGGGACCCGAAAATGAGATCCTGCATGAAGAACTAATGAAAATCAAATTTCAGGCTGGAGCCCCTAGATTTCATTTTGCCGCATCCAAAAACCAAACCCCTAAACCCTAAACCCCTATCTTTTGGAGGGAGCTTAGCACGCTCCTCTGCCTCACCCTGGCCCTTCACCATCTGAGACATCATCCTCAGGCGTCAGGAAAACGGGCTTCGAAATAGAGACTTGGGGTTTGGCTGTTTAGGGTTTGGGCATTAGGGTTTCAGGGCACTTAAGACTTGGGGTTTTGTAGGTCTGTAGGGCTAGCCATCTCCAAGACCGTGTAGGATTAACAAAAGTTGGGGGGGCTCAGTAAGGTCCCTAACAAGAAGATTTGACTCCAGCCTGCATTTCGCTCAGCTAACTGACTTTGTCAATGAGTCCGCCGCAATCATTCTGAGCCTGAATAGTTCGACCTGGCCCCTACCATGAAACAACTATCCCAATACGTCACCATTTCTTGTACATAGTCTTCAGCAGCACAGCACCTTGTTCTGATCCTGTAGGCATATTTCGCATGCGATTGTTTCCCCAAATTTCAAGCCTCCAGAAGGAGTCCTGTATCCAAACACGTGGATTCTTCTGTAATAGGTCACGGCCCTAAGCAAAAATGGAACCCCTAAGACTGGGACCAACGACGGCTACTGCCTCGGCAAGATCCTAAATGGGTCTAAATGGGGTTCCATGCTTGCCCGTTGGGGGAGCCTAGTTTTGCTTTGCCAAGCGGCTCTTCGGCCTCTTTATTCTTCGCTGCCAGTGTCTTCTCCTTCTCTGCCAGGCCGACTTGAAGGTTGGCCACTTGGTCCTCGAGTTTCGGATAGTCAGCCCATGATTTGGGGCTCAGTGTTGAGGATGTTTCATGAAGTTAGAAGGATGTTCAACATTGAGATGTTCTGAACTACGACTACTACAAGGCTTGAAGAAAGAATTATTGTGGGAAAGCTGGTGATACAAAGGATGGTGTGGGCAGACTTTGCGAGGACCCAGGGATAAACCGTGAAGAACACTTTAATTGGGACAAAGTCGGCACCGCAGAGTCCCTGTGAACCCCCGGACCCAAACCCCAAATCCCACTTCACTGTCCTCAGTCTCCTTCAACTTCTTGAGGCCTTGAGTCCAAGGACTGCTCGTTACCGCAACCATTTTTGTTAAGAAAGTAAAGTTGACATGCATGTGGCAGTCTGATATGGGCATGGCATTCCTAGACAGGAGTATGTCGGCATGATGGCTGGAGTCGGTACCACTGTAGTCAGACCTCCGAAAGACTGCATTGGGCTTGTGCACGAGGCAGTTGGCATCGGATGGGAGTGTCTCTGGATTCAGCATAAGTTCCTTGATAAGGTGCCTGCACTCTTTAGAAATGTCCTGCGCCTATTGAGAAGTCGGAGAGCCTCCGTCAATGTGGCTCTGCTGGTCCAGGACTTCATCGCGCTTCTCAGTCATCAATCCTTGGCACACCACCAGAAAAACAGGGCTTGCTTATTTGCGGCTGAGACTGTGCAGAGAGCAGGCATCTTAGTACCCCGCCGATGAAGTGATTGATGAAATCCAGAAAGTCACGGGGAGTTATGAAGTTGTACCGTTGCGCGCTCTTCTTCAGATCAACATTTGTCTGATCCACCTGCATCCGCCGAGAGCAGCCAAAATGTAGGGGCAATGATGCTGCAGAAAGAAACACACAGCATTTGATCATGAACAAGCCAGATCAGCTAGTATGATAGAATCATCATAGCCTCGTTGCAGTCTCTTGGGAGCCCTGTAAGCAGAAAACCAATTGACTGAACCTGCCTGCTGGTGGAAGGCAACAATTGTCTCGGAGAGCTTCTGGTGCCGCAAGGCATCCTCCGCGTCTCGCCACAAGCCCCTACAGAAGACCCAAGAGCGTATCCTACAGAGGGTGAAGTTGGAGGAGGGTCTTGGCTTGGGATTTGGGAGCTTGGACAAGCTGTTTGAAGTTTAAGTCAGAGACTTAAGACATGAGATTTCATTGAGCACGCTGCCTTACCTTGATCGAGAAGATGTTCGGCACTTTGAGACTTGAGGTCTGAGTCACGTTTGGAGCCGTCCAACCAAAGCTGACAAAGGCTGAACCACAGCAACGCATGACGATGCTGCCAGCAACTGAACGAAAACGTCAAGGGCGTCATAGAAGAATGCAGCTTCCCTTAGTGCCTGATAGCTAGGCTAAAACCTTCAGGCCTAGACTTCAAACCCAACACCCGAACATCTTGAAATCCCTCAATCCCCGAACACTCCCTCGATGCTCCTTGTCCTCACCAACGCCGGCACAACTGCCTCAAGGTTCACAACAGTTGCAGCAAACACGTAGGGCTTAGAACCAGAAACCTCGTCCCGAGTGACAGGAATGACAGGAACTTTGCCTTCAGCATCCTTGCAAAGCCAGCGGAACTCCGAGACCTCACAACCTCAACCAAAGGCCAAGAACCCAAAATCCCTAAGGCACCGAAATGCTAACAACTTATTTGAACACAGCCCCTACCCGACGTATTCCTATGCTATTCTCACGCTTCAGTGCAGGCCTGTAAACGTGTCATCACCGATCTGCATGCTTGCCTTGGACACACCAGAAGCACCAGCACTCAGAATGTTCCAGCCCAACTTCATCATGATAGTCATGCTTGACGGCCATCATAACAATGCCAACGCTGGTCTTGATGGCTATACACTTCATAGTCCTCCGAACTAGACTGGGTCAAAATCCTCCCCACGATGCTACTGTTTGGATACTAGGTATGGAATTTCAGTGACCATTGCGTCAACATCTGATAGATACTACTGGCACAGCTTCCCAGCTTACACTCCAAATTGCGTGTCCTGATCCCTTCATACGTTATCTATAAGTGGGGCTTGGCTGGATGCGTCTGGAAATGCCAGGCGCAGCGCTGCTTTTGAAGAAATTCCCGAATCGGTTGCTTTCTGCGCTTCGCTGCCTAGATGCTGTAAAGTCGGCAGCCACCTGCAGAAGAGCCTCCTGGAAGGTATCCCAATATAACCTCAATATAACCCTAATATGACCCCAATATATTAGAGTAGTTTCCATTTTCTTCTCCATTATCCCAGTATAACCCTAATACATTCCCTATTATAATATTGCAGTTTCCATTTTATTTTCCATTATCCCAATATAACCTCAATATAACCGAAGGCGAAAATGCGGACATCTTCCAGAAACTTGGCTCAAATCCGCGATCCCAGAAAAGGACCCAAAATGGGGAAAAAAAAAGGAAACTACTCGAATATGTTGGGGTCATATTAGGGTTATATTGAGGTTATATTGGGATAATGGAAAATGAAATGGAAACTACTCTAATATGAGGACCCCTCACAGGAATCCCTAGGCTCCTGTGGCCAGTCTCCGAACCAGTCGATGACACATCGATTGAAGAGCGCAGGACTTGAGTTCGATCGGTTGTAGAAGTCTGGATTTGCAGGGTTCCTGGGCCCGGAATCCAGGTGCTTTCATTCTTCTGGGAGAGCGGTTTCGAAGGGCTCCACGCCGCTCTCTGTTCGTCTTGATGTAAACGTCCGTGCCTACTTCCAGACAGCTGTCGTAATCATTAATCTGACAGGAGCAGAGTAAGTAGCTTAGGCAATTCGATGCTTGACACCACATACGGAATTTACCACTGCCAAAGCCTACAAACCCCCAAGGGTATACTTGAGAATACTATCAAATCCTGTTTCGTGCAATGCCCCCTGAAATCCTAATCTCTGTACTCTCGGCATGGCTCATGGTGAACACGATGTGCAGATTCCTTTGGACTTGCTTCGTGAAGCGCGCGAAGATTTCGGCATCGTCCACACCCTGGATGTTGGCACCCCGGCATTCCTTGCAAAACTCGAGATGAAGATTTGGGTGGTGCAACGGACTGCATGGTTCTCTGTGGAACGCGTCTTCCCACCTGAGCTATCCTCAGCAATCCTCATCTTGGCTCTTGTAAACCACTTTCACAGCCCCAGCGTCGTGGATGAGCGCCGTATACTCGTCACCTGTCTCTTTCAGCCCACCTTAAGCTCCCTAAACCCTAAACTCAAAATAGTAGTTTCCATTTTCTTTTCCATTATCCATATATAACCTGTATAGAACCCAATATACCAATATGTAACCTTTGAAAAGTATATTCTATCTAAACCCCACACCACACCTATCCCTCAGATTTTCGGACCTTCGAAGAGCCCCGGGACTTCGCCCGAGGCCAGGAGGGCGTTCATCCGCTCGATGAAAGCGGGCCCCAAGGCCTGAAGTCTGAAGGAGATTGCAGGGCTCTTGGGTTTAGGGTTCTCGCTTAAAAAGGCTTCCCAACATATGCCGGTACCATGAATTTCAGACTGCAACCATGTGCTAATGGACACCCATCTGGGCTGATGGCGTTCGATTCGTCGAAGATGAATGTAATCTTCTCGCCCTTCACGCCAGCACCTTATTGCGAAGCTTCCGTGACTAGGTGACCGGGACATGTAGCAGTACATAGAATAAGAAGGTGAAGCATGCACAAAGTAAGATAATCCACATGATGATTAACTTGCAGCGGGCATCCGAAACCTGCTATGTACTCCTCTACCGGGCAAGGATGGCAATATACACTTTAACAGGACCAGGTACAGTGTGAATCATACTGCATTCCGTGTTCACTGCTTTGCGTGGAGCTGACGAAAAGCTTTTCATGATTTTCATGATGGCATTATTGTAAGTTGCTCTGCTTGACTTAGGTTCTACTCGTGCCACGGCGATGCGGCTGCCAGCTCTGACTGCCTTCAAGGCACGCTTCATGACCACACGAACATCGGCCTCGAATGCGAGGACGTCGTAGTTCCGGCCGATCTTCAACGTGTAGACACTCAGCCCGTTCAGCCAGGACACGAACTTCGAGAGGACCTTCCGAAAGGAACTGCAGGAGCGGCCGGAACCAAAGCCACCCAAGTAAACAACTTAACCTGAAGACATGAAGACTTCATGCACTTGCATTCACGCTCTCAGCAGCCAGGCTGCTGTTTTGCCGGCACCCGATGCCCCCACCAAGAGCAGATGACCCAGCGGCTGCCTTTCATAGGCTTCTAGTTCTCCAACTGAGGAAGGTGTCGGGAAGCACGATGAACCATTGTGCAAGCATCAGGTGCCACTGCAACTTTTCACGTGGAGGCTCACGCAGACAGCTTAGTTAGCTGCGTGGAGATAGCTGTGTTCTTAATGCGCAAGTCAGTGGTTGGGTGGATGAAGGCGCAGGCCTGCTTTAGAGGTTCGTTCGAGGTTGATGATTCAATGTCCATCTTTTAGCTTGGACTTTGGTGCTTTGTCCGGAGAGCCTTAGTACTCGATCCATGCGCACGATGTGGTCCAGAACTGAATCGAAAATCACCAATCGCACCTTGGCAGTGAGAATTCACAGAAAGGCCTAAAGCCTTCATCAATTCAGCTCTCTGAGGACGCCACATCCAGCTCCTCCTCGTAGAACACGCTGAGCTTGCCCTTCCTGGGTCGAGCTGTGTGGCAGAGCCGCTACAGGCCACAACAGAATTGCTCACGGCATACTCTCCTAATGGGGAGCGCAGCGGCAACAACATGAACGGGTGATCGTGGCATCAGATAAGGTGAATTAAAGCTCAACAATGGAAACAAAAACAGCCAGGGCAATCAGGACCCCCGATGATGTATACATTGCATCAAGCGTCACAAACTCTCGCAGGCTTTCCCGCGTCTCGTCACGGTAGCGGTGCTGTTCATCCAGATAACCTTTCGCCAGCACATGGATGTTTAAGTCAGCTTTGACTTCTTGAAACTCTGCTTCCTCTTCCACGTGTGAAAGGATCCCTGATGCTGCCTGCAATACTAGCAACAAGAAAAGGCTGATAACGAAAACCGAACTCTTGCTGACGGCTTGCTCTATCCGACATCAATTTCTAGCCTGTCTTCCAATCATATTGTTCCTACTGCTACTGCTGTGGCCACCACAAAAGCCTTCGATTACAATCACCTACTACACAGGCCGGTTTGTCCTCCAAGTAGCAGCTGAAGAGAATCGGCCTCTGAAGAACATCTGCACTGCAACCGAACCTCAAAGGCATGCTCTTCGGACACTCCAGTCTTCTTTCGTATGTGCATGCGCACTTTGCTTGTGACCTCTGGTAACCTGACACCTAAGCATCCTAAGGTTCGATCCAGATCCAGGGACCGGCCTAGATTCATTAAAGTCTGAGCCATTGATTATGCCATCAAGCACTTGCGCATGACTGTCAACGACCGCGCAAGGAGTTGCGACAAGCCCGAAGAACACTGAACAAAGTTGTCTATATGTAGCCCTTGGGAAGTATGAACAAGCTCTAAATTTGGAAGCAGACTTTTGCCATCTGTGCACTTTGTCATCGCAACATGCTTTCATCATGGCTTGTGCAGGGCTTGCGCCTACGGATTTGCTAGCAAGTCTTTGTTTCTGGCACCCCATAACTGGTGACGGATGCAGTTTTGAATGCCGAAATCTCTAAATCCCAGTCCTAGTCGGCACGCTGCACATCCTCGTCTTAGCAGTGAGGGGGGCATACCTTCTCAGCGGAAAAAATGCTTCCGAGCGGCTCCCTCTGGACCACCTGATGGCTCACATGGCGGCAGTTGTAAGCAGCAGCACTAGCAATAGTGCGATAGTGGTGGAGGGCGGAGCGGTGGATAGCTATTCATCGTTGTTGTTGTCATTGCCGTAGCATTAGCAGCAGCAGTAGCAGCAGCTGCTGCTCCTCGTCTCGCCCATGACAATGAAAGCGATCCATGCAGTTGTGAACGTAGTGAAGGTAACAGGGGGAGCTAGGAAAAGCCAAGAACAGTCATGTACAGCTAGTTCACTTCCCAAGACCGATGCCCCGCGCCTCATCCAGAAGCTCTTCACTCCTTAGCAAACCAACGCTAAAACTCCTAAACCACAGACAGATAGAACAAGAACTGTCAGCTTGCCTACTTTGAGGCTACCTCTTGTGAAGCGCCTTACAACTGGAAGGCGTGCGTGACCCTTTCTTCGAATCGAAACAAAGGCTCTCTAACAGCTCGAAAAGGTCACAAGAGCCTTTTGGCCAGCTGTGCTCAGGGGGTTGGGAGTCCAAGTGCAGTTCTGCGATTCCTCAGCCACTTGCAGCTACTTGCTAAGGTCCCCCTTGAATCCTAAATCGCGGCAAATGCCATCAAACATGAACCCTACGCCCAAGTCCCGCCAGGTACAGCCTTCCAGTAGGCATGCACTTCAAGGAAAGGATCCACTGCCGCTCCTCCTCATACACCAGTCGGTCCACGAAGATTCGGAGACCCTTGGAGGCATTCTGCATGGGTAACACAAATTAAGGGCCCAGGGTTGGGACCATGCCTCAGAATCAGAACCCCCCTTCCATAGCCCTGAACAAGATCGGGTCTTTATCACACGTACGTTTTCACCTGTTCTTCTCAAAAAGTTTCCGACCCCGCTCGAAGATTCACAGTGGTGCGAATCATGATAATTCTGTAGGGAGCATGATGAGACTGACAAGAATTGAATTCCTGCCGAAGAACCTCATGCACCAACAAGCGGATGAGGTTTGTTTGCGTCATGCCGTCCCAGTACCGCATGCACTCATAGAGCGCTGTCTTCCACCGTGTGAGCTCGCCTAGGTTCTGGGACTGAAAACTGATCCTTCGTAAGTATTCAGAAAGATGTGAACCTTTCTTCAAGAGCGATCAAGCCACGCGGGGAGTAGAGGTAATGAGGCTGCTGGTCAGAGGTGAACTTCTGAGCACTCTCGCGCCAGAACTGCACCATGGTGTTTGTCATACCCTCCCCACAGCTCTTGTCCAGCTGTGGCTGAAGCTTCAGCATTGCTCTGTTGAAGGTGCCATAGATCTGCCGCAAACTGTCCGGGCCCGGGTAGTCGACCCAAATGACCTGGGTGAGATTGGGCGGCCCTTTTGGATTTGGACCATCATGGCCCACACCCCAGACCCTAAAGACATAAGTAAGACCTAACCCTAGAGACTGTTGCCACCAAAGGCTTTTCCAATTCTGCAACACAAACCCACGAAAAGTCCCGTTGAATAAGCCCAAAATCAAATGCCAAATGACTGGGGCATGCCGAAGGAAGCGATCGGACATCGGATGACGGCCCGGATCCGTGGGTGGGTTGCCTCAGTTCAGGAAAACTGATTGAAGACATACATAGCACCTGGATGCGCAGACTTTGGGGCTAGAAAACCAAAAGTTGTTTTAACAGTCGTTCAGCTGCAGGCCCCCAGGAATTGCACGCGCTCCACGTTCACCCACTGCTTGTCACTTGGCCTGTAGAAACCTCCGGCCTCCGTGATCTGGCGGATGAACATGATGACCTCTGGATTTATACAGGGATCATATAGGGGTTCTAGAGGGTTATATAAGGATAGTGGCAAATAAAATGGAAACTACCAACTACTATATGACAATATTCTTCCTTTTGCGGCCCTCCAGGTGTAGTTTGCCTTCTTTATCAGGACTGGCGAAACTTGTAATGCAAGTCCTTCCAAAACCCCAAGCGAGCCGATGTCTCGGGCCCTGAAGGGACTGCGACTCAGTCTCGGAGATCCCAGGAGCGCGGCCGAATTTAGTTCTGTCGCCCAGGAAACTCTCACACCATGCTTTGCATCCCTACACAATCCCAAAATCCTCCAAACCCTAGACTCTAGAACCTACATCCGACTATACGCCCACCTTCTGCGTGCCGTACTTGTCTTCCTCGGGCAGGTTGCACTCGTCACAGAAAACTACCACCCAGCGATTCAGCTGCAAAGGTCGCATCACGAGGCCATTGGGAGTCTTCACCTGACCATCTAGAGCAAATCCCTCTTGAGGATTGCCTACAGCAGCAGCACTGAAATCGGGGGCATGAAGGCATGATTTCCCGGCAGGCTTCCACAAAATGATCAAACAGAGATCAACTGGCCACATGGTCTACAAATCACCAACACTCTTTCCGTCATCTTCTGACATCATTGCTGGGGTTCGGGCCTGGCATCTCCAAACCCTAGCTACCAACCCCAAACCCAACAAAACAGATTTTTAAAGAAAGAGAAGCCAGCATCATCAGACCGAGTATACACACACCTTTTGGGCATCTTGGCAGAAGCTCACAAAACAACCGCTGGAAATTCTCAATCAACTGGCCCGAATAACCCTAAAGCCTAAGCCATAAACCTTACGTAGACCCCAAAGCCTAAGCCTGAAAACTCACAACCCCAGACCCCCAAGTGGCGGTTTCGCAGTAGAGGTCGAAGGTCTTCAGAAGCAGCTCCGGGGTAGTACCCGCCGAGAAGTTCAACGATGCCAGCTCAAGGCTACCGGCCATGGCTTTCCTCTCACGCTTTTTCTGCCACAAATTAGAGTATGGCATTGCGAAGTAAATTGAAAAAGTGTGAGAGGAGTAGAGTAGATGATCATGTAGCTAGAATTTGCTGATTTTTTGGGTGAGCACGAATAGCAAACACTCACAGATAGTGAGCGGGAATGCGAAGCTATCGTTCAGCCTAAACATGCTGTCCCTGATAGGGCAATAGATCTGGAAGGGATGCACGCGGCAATGAGGATAAATGGACACCACTATATGGCTGGGATGAAAATGGGGACTACCGGATGCACTCCTCAATTCCATAGTACGGTGAACCACTTGTAAGCTAATGAAGACTTGCAAATTTGGGATTGGGAGTTGTGCTTTAAAGGGATTTGGGACGTCGCCTAAACTTATGTTCCCAATCTTGGGGGAAACGTTTGCGGGGACAAAATTGCAATAGGAGCCCCGCTATAGACCTCATTATGGGAACCCATAACACTGTAGGAATTTGAGATTGAAAGTTAGTTGCTGCACTGGTACGGATCTAGGGAACCAGGGTCCGGAGGCTGATTTGGGAGTTTCAGGTTCCAGCCCTGGGGTCAAAGGCTTTTAATATCTCCAGCCTCTAGTGAGATAACCATCATAGCCAATGCCTGCAAAGGTGCAGAATTAGCAAGAGGCATATACACATCAAAAGATCTACCCACAACACTGGTTCTGCGAATTTGGGCTGATGAAACACCCTCAACGCCAAAAGAACACCAAAAGCAAAGAAAACAGAAGCTAAGCTGAACCCAGCTTCATGGTAGACATAAGCGTCATGGTCTTTCCGCTACCCGGTGGTCCACTCAAAATGAAGGGCTTCCTCTCCTCCAGGGCTTTTGGAAAGGATTCAGCGTTGGCGATTTGTGTTTAAAGGCATGGATTTTGGTGGAATTTTAGCTTTGTACGTCAGGGTTTGCGGCTTCGAGTCTGATTGAGGCCACCACCACTCCAGAGTATGGTACGAGATGTTTGTGATGTCTGGGGGTTTACGACTTTCTTGGAGGGTCGTTGCGAGTAGTGCTATTCTCCCTTAGACCCATGATTGCTTGCTTAGCTACCCTGGGAATAAACCACAGAAGCCAATCAACCTATGAACTCTAAGCTCAGCTGCAAGACCTAAACCCTCAAGACTCTTGCAGGCCATGCTCTAAACCTTCTGGATCTTTTCTCCCAGGTCCTCCCTATCAGCACCTGATTTAAGCACAACCTCAGAGTTTGGCCCTGCAGCTCCTCCAGCCAGGCTGCTAGAGTTGCCGTGTGCCTCACTGTGTCCACTGTGGAAATGATCAGGCTGCTGTCTGCCACCTGGACAGCTTTGGGTTTAGGGTCATCGGAGAAAAATCTTAGGGGTGCTAGTGGTCTACCTCGAGTCAGACCCAAGGGCTTCAGTGTTGGTATGGGCTCTTTTGCGGGAGTTCCCCAAAACAAAGACGCGAATGAATTTGAGACGCACCCCAACCTTCTCTGGGTCGATGTCCAGAGTCGGTACTCGCTTGTCCCAGTGATACCACTTGCCATCCTCAACGCGGACCTGGACATCTGAATCCTGAAGCCCCAACTGCTACCCGGAAATCCTGAGCCCCCATGCCTCATCACCTGAAATTCTGAACACATCAAGTCCGAACCCAACAGTCTACACGTTCCCCTGACACCTCGAAGTCCAGCAGTGTAGTATCTCCACCCAAGCCATCCGGCGCAGGAATGTCTCCCAGGTGCCCCGCCAGCATCTCGCAGAACTTCATCCGGGTGTTCAGGAACCTACGCATTCTGCGCACCCAACCTAAATAACCACATAGACTTTGTGAAAGCTGTGGCTCCCATGGCGTTGCTCTATAATATCGAAACTTAGGTCCTGGGATAATAGTTCGTTGTCATGCATACCTGATTCTCGTGAGAGAGAAGGATGAAACATAAACTGTGTCACAGGGATACTCTTGCCAAGGCGCATGTCCCCGCCAAAGGACCAGCAGATGGCGAAGACGAGATACTTCTTTATGAAGGATTGCAGAACGTCGTCTGCCAGAGGAAATTCCTCATGTACCTGAACTCCGTCCAGGACCATGATGTATCTTCAAAAAGCTTAAGATTGGATAAGAGAACGCCCTGAAAGAAATGTGCAGTGAGACTCAAGGTGCTTCATCGTACTCCAGGATCATGTTGATGCCTTTCCGGACCATTGAGAACCTTCAGTCCGGCTACCCGAGAAGTCCATCCCCCAGGCAGGAGGAAGACTAAGAAAAAATACTCCTTGTTGAAAAAATTCCATACAATCTTGAACATAAAGATAGCTCAGCCACAAGCCCGTGAGAGCACGGATGGACGTGAAGGTCATGATGTGGTCCATCTCAAAGGCAAGCCTGGGAGAAATGGAAGCTCCAGCTCAAGGCGCAGGATTCAGGATTTGGCCTTTGGTGATTTATGGAGCCAATGGTTAGGTGGCAAGGTTTAGGCGGGCCTGGGGGGAAAAATTAGGACTTATTGGTCCAACCTTGTGGTATGTAGAACCACCCCTGTAGCCATCATAATTTGGCGCCAGAACACCCGAACCCGGATCCGCAAGCGCAAGGCCCGTGACTTGGAACTACACACTGAACCCTACCAGGCCCTAAACTTGGTTGCCACTAAGCGTCACGAACTCTCTGTGAGATAACTGGGCTCTATAGAAACCCAAGCCGTAACCCCTGAGACATTTAAACCCCAAAAACCTGAAGCTTGACAAAGCCCAAACCCTTTATTGAGGCCGGCTGCTGCAATGAAGAGAGCACAAGGCTACCCTTCTCAAAGCAGGGCTCCAGAGCCTCAATGCACTTCACCTTCGTCATCTGCTTGGGTCCTGGTGCTTGTCGTAGTGGCACAATCAAGAATTCTAATGGTAGTGGGTGGCGGTTCTAATGGTTCTAGAAAAAGCAATAGCAGCAAAAGCAGCAGTTGCAGTCGAAGCGGCAGTGGAGAAAAGAGGCAACACTTGGTCCCATGTGCGCTGCCGCAGATTCCGGGGTATCGTTGTTGGGCTTCCCGGGTAGTCTCTCAAACCAGAGATTCAAGTTTTATTTCAGAGCTCAACGTACATGGCTCTCTGTATATGGAATTGTTGTGCCTGCTTGTCAGTTCGCTGCAGGGCGCCACCATGGTGCTGACACTACGCATTTCACGCTGCTTCGACTTGGATCACTTGGAATCTTGGTTGAGGTTGGTCCTTGGCGACGTATCATCCGCTGTCTCATCTGGGGGTGAAGTATGGAAGCAGAGGTCCCTCTTCAAGAATCTTGAGGTTCAAGGCTTCATCAGGGTTCGGACTTTAGGGTTTGTGGCTCACAATTCAGGCTTGAGCGTTTTGGGGCTCGTGCCCCTCCGCCAACATGATTTCTGAGGGGGACATGTACTAGACTTACAGGCGCTGACGGCAAACTCCGGGGCCTTCTCCTGTGTCTGCTTTCTCAGACTCGAGGTTGCCGTGCCTCAGTGGCGGCTCTGCACGCCCCTTGAATCCCAAGTCCAGGCAGTTACATGAGGCCCTGACCTTGAAACCCTGAATTGCAGAAGAGGCACTTGATGGACTTGAGCTCATGGCTGCACATCATCCTGCTCTTTCAAAGAAGAGTGGCAACAGCGGCACACCGGCCCACCATCAGAATGACAACTCTGCAACCGTGAAAGCGCAGATACAAAGATTGCAGCAGTAGCAACACCAGCACCACAGAATACTCACAATTGACGAGAGGTAGTGCTAATGAAATGCCTATCAGGAATATGAATATGACTTCTTGAAAAGAAGAGAGATAGCTGAGGCGGTCAGGGCACTCTTGCGTCACGACGTCGTTTGCAAACCAGACCATGCCACAGCGGCTCACTGTGGCAAGCGTAGCATACTTCAAGGTGTCCACCTCGAACATGATCCGAACATTCCTGGGAGACCATGGGGCGGACTACGGGGCTGACTCATGTTGTTGGAAATTGGCAAAGCGTGCTCAAATTACGCACCGGAACACGTTCTAAAGGCAATGGCCCATGATCTCTACTTCGCTATGGTCATTGTCATGTAAGACCGCAGGGGTGCAATGGTGTTGAACCGAGGCACCGGGTAGGCAGAGCAATTCTTGATTGGGAAATGATATTTCTGCCACGGCTAGCACGACAGCCACTGTGACTCATGACCAAGGTTCGGAGGTATGGCCAAGCGTTCGCCGTTGGGCAAGGTCAGCAGCTTGTTGTCATCCAACACAGAGTTCAGATTCTCAGCCCATTCTGGGTCGACGTCCTTAGCAGAGAAAACCACGCTTACTGAAAAAGGGCGGCAGAAACTGAAACAAGACTGCAACGATATCAGTAATTCTGCAATCTATAAACTCTGAATACAAAGTTTCCATACCTGCGGAGAAAAAAAAAATGTTGCCAGGTGCTGATTTTGGCAGGGGCCCATGGATGTACAACAGACATGCTTGCAACTGATCCACCAGACGATCCGTGACAGGCTTCTCTAGAATAAGAAGCAGGGATCCGGATGAAAACGAATCCCCCCGGTTCAGAGCTCGAACACCCCCTATCCCTCGCCTGAAAACCACTCTGCGGCAACCTAAAACCCGTATATAGATGCCTGTAGAACTCTAAGAACTTCATTTCACAATTTCCCTCTCCTCAAGAGAGGGCATAATTGATTGCATAAACCTCTCAACTCTCGAACTTTAACCACACCTCGCAAAACGTCCCAAGGAATGCTTGCCAAAACCCTGTATGCTCCAGAAACGGCCAGAATTTCCAGGGACAAGGTTCACCATCGAACATGATCCACTGCCGACGCTGGTTCTCGCCACGATGTCCTGATAAGATGCGTCGCAGAATATCAGTGAAGACACCATCCGTCCATTCCTGGGTCGGCAGCATTGGGAAAAGAAAAGGCAGATAGCAGTCCACGAAAGGAATCTAGAGTAGTAGTGCAGTGCTTTGCGCATTCTGGCAACAAAATATATGTTGAGAAAAGCACAAAGGATTGTGCACATACGTTCAAGTAAAGTTAACACTGATCCAGGTTCGAGCGTAGTTGGATCCAGCTTACCGTAGAGCTCCTCCTTGCTGACAGCTTTGGGGTCCACCACATACGCATCACCTTTCACGTTGTCCAGTTTCTCCATTGCATCCAGTAAAGTTCGCCACACCGTGGATTTGCCAGTGCCAACGGTGCCTACCAACATCACGCCGTGCGTGATTCTCTGAATCTGGAATAACTCCATGCATTTCAGCATAAAGTTGTCAGTGCACTCGAAGTGCCGTAGCTTGCACAACCTGCGAATCCTGAGCAAACACAACGAAAGTAATGAGCCTCAAAAGAATGACAGCGTAATGGCCAAAGCTAGTAACAGCAATGCGGATTTCCTGCAAAAGCGAAGCTGGTCGAAACAACACTGTCATCCTGCACGGGATACGGTAGACATACTTACAAGAACAAGAAAAAGCAGAAGAATGACAAAACGTATTGTAGTCAGGATTAGCTCTGGTACAGCTTGTGGGGGCCCTACGGCCGATCCCCACTTCCTCACCTGGACATGCTCAGATTCGGGTCCCAACCCTTCACGGCCTAAACCCCTTAGGTTTGGCTAAACTTCCCCCCACTGGGTGCCGCACTCTTCTTGGAGTATCTGATTGTCCACAATGCCAACATCAGCCCCTGGGAAGACTCCGGAGATCAAGCTCTGCATCCTCACTTGCGAGGTCTCTTCGTGAAAGAAAATGCTTGAACGTTTAAGAACAGCCTTGGGGTTGTACTGATACCCACGGCAAAGATCAAAAGACCAAAACAGCCTACATCTGAACCCAAGCATCAACGGCTTGTCTTGTGCCACCAGCTTTGGCACAAGCGTATCAAAGATCGCTCGCAGCAGGATCTTCTGCTCACTCTGCGACACCTGCAATGAAAGAGCGCAAACAAGAATAATCCCTGCAACCAAGGACTCCAACAGGAGTGCCATGGCCGGGGGCTGAGCTCAGGATCCCCTTTGCCTCCAACTACCACACCCCTCACTCTAGACCAAACACCAGCCATCAACACACTGACCTCCCTTTACCAATCCAAGGCCTTCCCAGCATATGCAACTCTGCCGCTTGCAAAGCTATTATATACAAGAAAGATATGTCATGGAAACATCCAATGTTAGGGAAGGGTGGTGCCTCAGCCCTGAGACTCGGCTTGTTTTGGCATGACAAACGCTGATACTCCTCATGAAAATGTATCTCGCAAATCCTGCGAACCGGTCGAAGCTAAGCTCTGTCTTCGTGCATGTGTTGTTCGGCCTGCTCCTCCGACAGTTCGCCGAACTTCTCCGCGCCTTGTGCGATCACGTTTCTACTGGCCGCTTTGGAGAAGCCAACCGCAACACTACAGATCGAAGGACACTACAGATCGAAGGAAACCAAAAGATACAAACGATACCAGCTGCACTGCAACCAACAGAAGTGGGAAGGATGACAACAGGGACTAGCCAGCCTATGTTCGTCACCTCCTCGCGCTTCATGGAGCCCGCGCAGGCAAGCACCGCCTAGGTGAGATTTCGAATTTGTGCTGAGTAGATCAAATGGGGTATACAGCGTTGTGCTGTTGCACCTGCCTGTCCTTCCTAAAGCTCTCAGAAATGCCGAGACCTTGAACCCCAGAAGGTCTCTCAACTCCCACAGGACAGGCCTTCAGGGAGCGCAGCCCAAAGTCGTAGTGCGGCTGCGAAGAGAGCTGGTCCTTGCACAAGTCGAAGAGGAAGACCACCTGACCAAACAGTCTGAGGCAGGGATAGGGCACTCATCTCCAGCCTTACTCTACCTTCTTACATCTTCCCTGAGCTGGACATGTTTCTTTCTCAGCCTTGCTGGCCAGTTTCTCAGCACTGATGAAGCCCTGGTTGTACAGGTTCACCTGGCGCATGTCCCAGGGAAATTACTCATGTGACATGGTCTCGACAACACTCACAATCATTACCGCATGGTAGTGCTTTTCAGACTACTACAAATACTGATATTACTAGTTACTAGTAAGATTGCTACTGACATTACTACCATCCAGGTTCCGATTGTCCTTTCCTGAAAGGCAAGAAAGTCGATGAAGATCCCTCTTCGGTTGAGGATGAGCTTAGGCTGTGAGGTGACAAAAGGCTTTCAGGCGTCAAACGACTTGCAAAGAAATGGGTGAGAAGACACAACCACTTCCGATTGCCGGCCATTCATCAGACAACAGCTTGAGCAACTTCCACCTGCGCAATCAGCGTCTTGTTGGGCGTGGTCCTCGGTCACTTGGCCAAGGTTGCGAAGTCATTTGACTTGCTTGTCGGGAATGAGAACTAGGGCCGTTCCGAGTGCAAAAATGATAAGGGCTTCACAGCTGCACTTCAAGAACAGCGACAAACACAAACTTAAATCAAACAACGACAAGTGATCTCCTTACCATACTCATCCTTCACATCATTGCTCAAGCATGCCATATAACTTGATGACACCAGAAAGAGGTGTGACAGCACAGCAAAAAGATTATCACTAGGAAAAGAAACGGAAGCATACGCAGAGAAAGGTGGGAATGGTGGGAATGTCACCTCAGACCCCCTGTCTGGTGAAATGCCAGATCCTACGTCCTACGCCCTTACCCCTCAAAATCCCCACCCCCACCCGAACTTTGTCAACCAGGTACCCCAGCATGCATCCGAGGCACATGGCCATGGCTCGGAAGAGCTGCTTGAGATTGTCGGGAAGATTGGACCGCCCCGCATAGCCTGTGAAGCGGGTACAAAAGCTGAGGCTTATCTAGAGTTATGCATTGAGGACTCCTTGCGTAGGAGAGCAAAAGGGGTAGAGATATCCTGCGTGTCTCAGACCCTTTTGCTGACTCCCGTGAGCCTGGATTCATAGTCACGAAGATCCCCACATTAGAGTTCAGCCGCACCTGGCCAGCCACAAGCATCATGATGTTTCAGACATTGTCTAGAAGGCTTCACCGTATATGGCTTCATTTCGAGTAGCACCACGATGGGAGCTGTTGTGATTCTGAAGACGTTCTTGTTTTCCTAGCATTCACCAGAGTGTTTACGATGGTGATTGTTACGACTTGAACATGTCTGACATTTCACCCCACAGTAGCATCAAACCAGAAGTCAAGACCGTTTGCGAATGTCTGCGACGGCTGTAAGCTTGTCATGCAGCTGGCAACCCCGCGATGAGAAGAGTTTCTGCAGTCCTTCAGTCCCTTGTCTTCTCAGGGGTTACATACATTCAATGTTGCAACCCTTGCGGCCCTTGGAATGTTTCCGCTTCCACCAATCGCAAACTCCCATGTACCGCAGATTAAGGGAAGGAAGCCGGCGCCTGCTTGCCGAGGATCTCAATCTCCTTCTTGTTCTGCTTGTTGCCTGTCTGAATGGTGAGCACCTGCTCCGACACGGCGGAAAGGATCCGCTCCTCCAAGCGGTTGAACTCGTCGAAGCAGCCCCAGGCCCCGACCTGATGCGAGGGGTGCTTTTGGTGATGAGATTTGATATCCGGAAGGGCTTCTTGGAAGTTGCGAAACAATTTCAGAGGAGTCGGAGTTGAGGGTTTGGGCGGACGGGCGCATCATCGGGTTGTTTTGTCTCATTCGAAGAAGGGCCTCGTATTCTGAGGCACATAGTTCACTAGTCTGAGTTGTTGTGATCCCAGATATGGCAAGATGCCTCAAAAATTTGACTCCTCCCCAAACACGAAGTTGTCCCTGCCAATCATGCTGCATCTCCTACATAATCCCTGTATCATCACTGAAGAACATAGCCCCCATAAAGTTCCCACAAAGCCCCGCCTGGCAGAGTCCCACGAAGATCCGGCCCATGGCCTGGAAGTCGAAGCCCTCGTCGCAGCAGAAGACCAAAACGAAGCGTCCCATGGTGTTTCCCAAGGCCTTCACGGACTCTGTCTTCCCCGTCCCTGCGGGACCGAATGGATTAGCTCCCAGGCGCATATGCAGGGCCTGTGTCAAAGTCAAGAAGCATCGGTCAGTCAGCGGGGTCTGCACCAGTTTGTCTGCAATGCCCAGATACTCGAAACCATAGAAAAAGCTGGCATCCGCCATGCAGATGGACAGGCGCTGCAGAATTTGGGGCTCGCTGGGATTCCAATACATTCGCATCAGCTGCAGCCACTGGAAATCTTTCGAGGATGCAACCTTTCACGGTGAGGATAAGGTGCTTTCGATGCATTGATGGTGGGTGGGGTGAAGGAAATTACTTCCATCAACACTAACCTATAAAAGACAATTACATTCATCCACACAAGGACCCATAAACGCAAGCCCAGTCTTGAAAGGCCGCATTTGAACCCCTTGCGACCTTGTCCTGGATCAGCTGTCTGGAGACATCTCGTTGATGTACCACCTTCAGAGGGACTCTGGAGGGCTACTGCGGCGTAAGGATTGCATGCTGGAGCGCGGGAGGATGGAATGCATGAACCTTCACCATAAATCTCTAAACCTGTCAGCCCCTGTCACACCTCCGTAATCATCTGCGCCAGCTTCTGTCGCACGTCGTTGCTGATGTTCGTGATGACTTTCCTGGACATCTCTACTGGTTTCAGGACTAAAGCCTTTGCATTTTAGGTTTGGAAATGCGGGCTGACCAGGGTTGGCTGCGAAGTCTAGGGCTTGAAGTGAAATGTTCTGCCTCCCTTTCTTACTCAGCTGAGTGTACTTCTTACATCTGAACATTATGGAGCATTCGGAAGGCCCCCAGGAAAAATCCACCCTAGGCCACAGAAAGACCATGCAGTAACTTACCCAGTTTCCCAGCCATGAAGGACAGCTGCTCCACTGCGCGTGAAAGGACCTCGAGTCGCTGATGGCTTAGGGTTTAGGGTTGGAGCTTGGAGAGCTTTGTTGTTTGGGTTCCAGACTTGCGGCTCAGCATGTGTTCGGCTTTGGGCATGCTTGGACACTGCACTTGAACAAGCCCAAGCCCTACGCCCTGCATTGGGATATCTTCTCACCATGTCGTCTATCAAAAACAAGATCCCGATTCAACCCTGTGAGTGAGAAGCCACATACAATCCTGCTCCATCCAGTCCTGCATATCCCCGAAACAATGCTTAGGAATTCCTATACAAATGTCGTTTCTAGAACTTCTATGACCCCTGCATCTTTGCCATGGCCTCACCTTCTCAACATCACCGCCGGGACTTAGAGCTGATTCGGTCTTCTGGCACCAGTCCGCCAAGATCGCCATCAGCAACACCTGGCATACGATGTCTCATGAAGGACAAGATGGATGATTGCCACGATTGATGCAAGCTCCGTCAAGCCAACAGGAAGAAGAGTCATAAGCTGATCATGACAGAACCTTCAATGCTTGGGGGCTGTTGTGTTGTGGTTGTTCGCTGTCTAGAACTGCTGCCGTCTGCCTGATCATGTCCCTGCTCAGAGATGATGATGTTGATCATTTTGGCTACTCATGTTTTCCAAAAAGACTCTTCTAATTCTTGCAATTCTTATGACCCCTGTTGGTCACATTGCCGTATCACAACACGTCACGTCTTACAGGTCAGACTTCCGCTTGCTCCTCTTCATCATAGCCTCTCATGTTGGATGAGGATGACCCTGGAGCATTGGCGGTAACCCATGCCTGGAAGCCTACAGCCCTTGGTGCAAAGCCATCTTCTACGAAACTTAAGCCCTGTGCAGGGAATACTCAAAGCGCGGTCACTGGCCTGGCAGGGGTACTTGGAGACCCAGGCCTAGCAATTCTGCATTTCAAGTTGTTTGGTTTCAGGATTCATGGTTTCAGGGCCAAAAAATGCGACAGAGATATGCTGAGGGGCTATCAAATACATTGGGATTATGCAGGTTTGTGTTGGGATTCCGTCAATCTATTGTGAGCTCATGTTGGGATCGGTACGCTTCAGGACTTTGGCTTGACTGATCAGGGCGGGATCTTGACCCTCACGCTTTGGCTTTAGCACGTCTCAGCGCAGGACCATGGTGGCGTCCTCGCTGATCTTCCCGTCTGCGGTGAAAAGGGTGCCTAGCCTCACTGGTCACTGGATTGGAGCTTAGGAATTAATGACATAATGCTCTTCCAAAGTGAGCTTTCAGGATGGGACAATGATAGTCAGTGCTGGAATGCATGGTGCCTGTGACCACAGAATAGACAACAAGCATGAACAAAAGTTCATGCTTCTTCTCGTGCTCGTAGCAGGCAGTGTAGAGTTATGCAGACAATGCAGACGACCGTAGCACAACCAAGGTGACAATAACACTTGATGCTTCCAGACGGCTCGTTCATCGAGGAATTCAGATGCTCCCCCAGCGAAGTCTGCATGTTTGCCTGGCCACGAATGCCGCGCTGAAAATGGTAGTCTCTGCGAATTCGTCCGGCCAGAAGCCATGCCAAAAAATCTGGAAGTATGCTTTGAAAGGACACCCAAAGGTCCTAGACCGGAAATACTGCCAACTGAATCCAGTTATGGGTGTGCCGGCCTCTGTCCTGGACAACCATGCATTGATGGAGGGATCCTCATTGATGTTCACCTTGGAGGCGCGCTGAAAGCTTTAGCAAGGTATAGGGCTTGTGAGGCCTCCCTGATGTGGCTGGGACTTGAGATCAGCTAAGGTGGGTATGTGTGCATATCATAAATACTGCAAAGAATAGAATACAACTCCACATTCATTGACATGCACGTGGTCCAAGTGAACGTGCAGACATAGTCTCTTTGGTAGGCTCCCGACCGGCTTGATGAACTCCACAGTCTCACCCTCCCGGGACTGCATGGCCTGCCCAGACAACTCTCCAAGACGTTGAAGCAAAGCTAAAGCTGGTAGATGATGGCATTTCTGCAGATAACGGCAATGCACAATCATGAGCAACGCGCACCAGGAACATAAAAGGTAGCAAGAATGGTCATAACAACAAGTGATCATTG